TTTCTTTTCTTTCACTGTCATTGTTTTCGTTAGTGCATGTTGAGCCTGTTAGGCACAGGGATGGCAAGCAAAGGTTGTGACAGTTGTGGGGATACTATGCGATACTGTAGCTTGTGCCAAGGAAGCTCCTCTTTATCACCAGTGAGGATGGCAAACTTTTCAGCTTTCGGCAGCTGCTGCAGGACGGAATTGGCAAAATGCCAGCCCAATCCCCTCAGCTCCTTAAAGTGCAACATTCCGGTGACCCCGTGGCCGAAAGTTGGATCTACCGATATCATCCGATATCTACCTACCGATCTACTGCAGTAAATCAGGAAGTGCTCAACCAGGTTGTCCTTGAATTTGCATTTTGAGCTGGCAGGATGGTGAAATCAAGCCGCCAGCCTTGGTCTTTGTGCAGTCCAAGGCTCGCCTCAGTGTTGTGATCGGTTCAGCGTCAGTCTTGTGAGCTGGCCTCGTTAATTAGTAGGAACGTGCCAAAGAGCTCTTCGGCGAGCTGGTCTACGATGGCATTTTCGTAGACACCATCCATGCAGATAGAACGAAACAACAGCGGGACAACACAGCAACTCAGATTGGAGATTGTGAGAGCCATGGAGAACCTTTTTGCCACGCATCGATTGTCTCATTGCTATTGGGATGGAGGCCATCGCTTTTTTAGGTTGGAGGCCATTGCTATTAATTCTATGATGCCCCAAGATCTGAGGTGAAGGCTTTCCGTGCTGGAAAGCTTTGGGTGCTGGTGTGCACAGACCTGATGGCACGCGGTGTGGACTTCAAAGGCATTGGCTCGGGAGCAGCTCCACCCAGGAATCCACCAAACAAATGAACAAGCGGCATCAAAGATATATCACACAAGCAGTTTCATGAGATTCCGAAAAACAGAATGCAGCGCATGGCACAGGGGCGCTCACACCAGTCGGACTTGTGTGTTTGTTTCCAGAAGAAAAGATCCAAGAGTAGAGTTTGATTCAAATCACTTGTATGGTCGAACAGAGATACTGGCGTTGCATGGCATACAGCGGTGAACCGTGACACAAACCAGGGCGCCATGGCAACCCTTTTTTTGTTGGCTTGCCTTTTGCAATTGTTTCCCTAGAAACCGGAAATGCTTGGTCAGGTGTGGAGACAGTGGCAGGGCAGCATTTCTCAAAGATTTCTAGAGTCGAGCATTCTAGAGCTGGCATACCAGATTCATTCATTGAAGGAAGGCCTCAGAGCCTCAGCTTCGCTACGCCCGAGGTCATCAACTATGACTTCCCCCAGTCAGCGGCCACGTACATTCACAGGTGGCCAGACCAAACCATTATTGGAGGCAATCTCATGCTTTTCAATTTCCGTGCACCATGTGACTGGCACACAGAGCCAGAGTTGTACTATATTTCTTTTGCAGAGGATCAAGGTGTTCTTGGAGAAGCGGGGCAATGTGTGCAAAAATAGTATGTATAATATAGTAATATGTCGCTTTGTTTCTTGTACTTTCAGGAATTTCAATAAACATGTGTCCTCGGATGAGACACAAGGATCGGTCGAACCGGTCGAGCTGGAAGGCCACTTGGGTAGAAATAGAGAAACGCATGACAAACGGGAAAGCAAGAGAGAAATGATGCAAAACCATCAATATAGGTTAAGTTATCCTTTTGCACGTCGTGCTGGCACTGAGGAAGGGGAAGGCTATCACCATGTTCACCATCGACGACTTTGAATCGTTGCGCAGTCTTCTGGCATGAATATGATTAAGGCGATAATTTGCGATAATCCAGTCGTGCTCGAGGTTGCTCAGGTCAAAAGCATGCATGAAGGTTTCCTCCCGTCATTGTCAATTCTTGCTCGTTGACCTGTGTCTCAGGTCATAGTATTCAAGAACCACCCCCAAGCCCCAAGTCCAATTTGCCAATGAATGATTGAGATCACCTTTGCGCAGAGTTGATCGGGCTCAGGCATCGTCGGGGTCGTGCGGCAATCTGGCTGTGAAGTGCCCGAGTGGATGCTGCGGCTGAAGCAGAGGTCCAAGAAGGTCCAGCTTGCGAAATGATATTGAAATTGGGTGACAGCACAAGTCAAGGGTCAAGAGTCAGAGTCAAGAGTCTTACAGTCCTACAGTAAGTCTTAAGTGATAAAAGCTAGAACCGAAGGCCTGTGACAGCTTGACGGCAGAGTGCAGGAGAAGCGCCTGGCAGAGTGGCAGCTTGATTAAGGAATTATATATATATATAATATATATATATATATTATATGAGAATTGCTTTTTTTGTGGGAGCAAGTAAGTTGTTTGTGACGAAACACAAAACCTCTCTTGGGAGCATGATGCAACTAGAACATTGGCCCCAGCTATTTGACAAGAGGCAGCTTTGTATTTTTGACTGTACTGAGTTGAAGTCGACCTGAAACCAGCCATGCATGCTGTTTCTGCAAAGTGGGATAGGGCAGCATCAGAAGTGGGAAAGGGTGCGGGCATTGGCTGTGCGCCACGAGCCCAAGGGTCCTTTCCTGCATTGTCACCCCAGGCGGCAGCCTAAACGAAAGCGTATCAGCACGATTTCGGGCTACGACCTCAAGAAGGCCCACAAGAAGAAGCAGAGTCTCAGCATGGAAGAGACATGAATGGATCAATGCTGGGCGATTCGGATTGACTGAGATTGCTTCAATGTACTGTTCTACTTACGTGCTATCCAAGAAGCGTTCTTAGTCACTTCCATTGGCCATCCTGCCATCCATCCGGCCATTGGTTCTATAGTTCCAAATGAAATGTGGGCAGTTCTGCTTTGAGACACTTCAGTCCAATTTGTCGCCGCTGGTCCGCTAAGGATGGTGGAGGTGGGAAGTGAAATTTTTATAGTTTGGGGAATTTGGAGAGAAAATGAGAGAACTATAGTAAGTATATTAGGTATGCACTCTTCGATTTGAATGTACTACTTTCTCCCAAGTGTGTTTGTCCTGGTGTTGGGCGATCCTTTGCATCACTTTTGGGCTTTGGAGGCCAGCAAGAAGCGGAAAGCTGCAGGTGATGATTGAAGCGGTTTGCGCTGGAGTGTGGCAAGTTGAAAAGAGGTGTTTCTCCATGCTGGTGATTCGGAAGCACCGGAACTTGAATTCCAGCAGGAACGCAGAAGGCATCCAGCTTTGCAGCGAGAAGGTGGTCAACGATAATAGGTAGTCTTTGTTTGTGGGACAGTGCTTCAAAGTGGGATTAACATTGAAATTCATAGCGTTGCCCAGATTTGGCAACGACTGCTCAAGAGAGGCTAGTGCAAACTTCTTTTCAGCAGAGGTTCTGGAAGCATCGGCTCAAGATTCCCCGGAGCCCCCAGAGTTGCTGGCCTCTTCGATGCCATTGATGTAGGTGCCTCAGAGCTGCTATGGGCGACAAGTTTTTGGCAACGCTGAGCTTTGACGCTGCTTCCGGTCGGCCACCCTTGCAGTTTGTTTTGGGGCCTGAGAAGAAGGCCATCACTGTGGGCCGTGCTCCGAAATCAGATGTGGTGTGCACATTGTCGGGCATCTCCTGGAATCACCTGGAGCTTAGGCTTCCTCAAGCACCAGCTAGTGGTTATTTGCTGGTTAAGGACTTGTCTATGAATGGCACTGGGCTGCGGTTGACTCCATCTCAGCCCATTCAAAAAGTGCCGAAGGAATCAGAATTGCAGCTGCCAAATGGTGGTGCGATCTTTGTCCCTGTGCGCAAGCCCAAGAAGAAAGAGGCTGAAGAGCACGACGTGATTCAGCAAAGCTTCGTGCTGAAGCTGGAGCCTTACTCAGGCGAACTTCCGCAGAAGCGTTTGGCAGAGCCGGCTGGAAACATCCCCAAGAAGCGAGCAACAGATACAGGCCCAGGGGCCCAGTGCTTGTGAAATTGGTTTACAGAATTGAATTTAATTCATGTTATGTCCAGCGTGATTGAATTGGTGGACACCCGCGACGTGTTTTTATGGCAGTCATTCCAGTCTCGACCTATAATGGATGAAGATCTAGCAAGCAAAACGCGTAGACATCAATTATTTGTGGTTTCTTCTGAACATCGATGTTTCCACAAAACCTGGAGAGTGAGTGAGAGAGTTCGCCTGGTGTGTCCGATTTGCGCCCCCGCCAAGGGATGACTTCCCAGCTTCTTCCGGAGAGCTGCACTCAGCGCTTGGCAAAAGGCGAAGCCTTGGTGAAATCTGCTCGTCAGGCGGAGAGCCGAGGGCGTTTGAACGAGGCGTTCCCAGCATATCGCCGGGGTTTGCAGCACCTGATTCGCGTCTTGCCCTTCTTGGACGCTTGGGTTTCGAAAAACACATGCATAGCGCGTGATTGACACTGAAGGGATCCTAAGTGCTCCACTTGATAGACATTTGGACAGCACATGTCAGAACAAAGAAGCTTGGATTTTATCCTTGGTCCTTCCAATCCTTAGGGCGTTACTATTGTTTGATGTTTCTGGATTGTTCTCGCATGTTGCTTTTCAATTTCCGTATATAGATTTTGGTGCTTACTGCCCTGAAGCCCGTTAGGTCGGGAACCAGTACACATGCGACATGCTCCCACGCTGTCGTGCGCCACAGGACAAGGACAGTGCATTGCTCCCTCCGGTGAAGCGGATGGTCAGAGACAACCTTGAGCGGGCAGCGATGGTGAAAGAACGCCAACGTCGGCTTAAAGAAGCCGAGCTGGAACTGCCCTGAACAGAAGCTAATGGCTTATAGATGCGAGAGGGGAAATTAGAAGCGTTCCTGCATTTGCATTTGTTCAGCTTGGGCCTGCGCTTGGCATTCTTGAACTGCTTCTTCATAAATCACTCTTGAACCCAATCTCGGCACATCAAGTAAGACTCATGCAGCTACTAGTAGCGTCCTTGCTAGTAGCAACAAGGGCATCGGCATTACTTCTAGTAGCAAATAGCTACTAGTAGCGTCCTTGCTCCCAGTAGCGATGCCCGGGTTCCTAGTAGCAATGCCAGGAGCTACTAGTAGCGTCCTTGCTCAAAAGATGCACATACACACACGGTGTCCCATCCCAAGGCCCCACATCATTAAGATGCGCTTCGCCACCCAAGAGGACGCATGCTTGGCCACTTGTCAACTTGGCAACAGAAATGGGAAAGACGAAGCTGGACCATCCAGCATGCTAGTGCTCAGACATGCTTTGTAGCAGGGCATGTAGAAGCCAGGGCCAGGTGAATTTTGGCTTGCACTTGACTAATTGCGTGACGGTTGGAGATGAACCACCGGCAGGTTTTGGTTCCACACTTTCATGCTAATCTACGTTATGACCTAAGGAAGTTCAAATCGAGCCGCAGCCCAAGTTTGATGTTTGCACAGTCCAATGTGTGTGTGTGTGTGTCCACTCCTGTTTCCAAGGACACTACTCAAGTTTTT